CAAACAGAGAAGTGTGATTTGTCATTCCACAGAACAGGTTTCCACTGCTCCAGAGCCCAGTCGTTTTATACACCTGTGGCACTGGGTCCGATTGAAACACCTGAATGCAATAATTAAGCAGTGTGTCCCAAAACTTTTGTTCATATAGTGTGAATTCGCACACATACAAAATACACATACAAGATTTGTCAAGCATGAAACAATGGTACAATAACAATACTCTGAAATTTTCACTTTAATTATTTTTGCTCAAACATGTTGCCAAATACTTTGTCTATGTCTATTTAAGTGAGCTTTTAAAATTTGTTTTGCTTGAAAAAAGAAAAAAAAAACATAAAAATATACAGTTACGATTTTTTTTTTCACTTGATTTAGTTGAGTTCTGTGCATTGAATACGATGTGATTTTCGGTATTCGAGATCTGGCAACAGCAGCGCATTCATGCCAACAAACCAATAAAAATGTGCAACAATTATGATGATTCATATTCATTCGAATCCCTCTGTAATTGGCACAGATTTGCAGAAAATTACAGTTGTTTGGCAAATAAACAATTTAAAGACATAAGTTGCTTGTGTAATCCTGACACTTTTTATTATGTAAGCTTTATGTTGCCCCTCAAATGACAAGGGCATTGATGACTTTGATATTTATGTCAATTCATTGAAATTGACAGTTTGCAAACTTTTTAAATTATAAATTGCAACAAATCTGTGTTAATGCTCTCATTCTTGCTCGTCAAAAGATAAACCTGCTTACACACACTGTGCTGAGTCACACAGGACTGTCAGATGGAAACATAAATGGGACATCCAGCTTCCCCTTTGCCCTTTCTGGCTGTGGTGGTCAGCTAGTGCAGATCTTATTAGTTATTCAGAGTGACAGCGCTGTGGCCCCTGGATGCCTCACATCGTCCTCGCTGCCATCCACCAGGCGAGAGAGAATGACCCCATCTAAACCTTACACAACTGCCTAAAGTGGCAGTTTGCCTGTCAAATGTGATGACTCATGAACTCTTTAAATGGAAATAAAAAGGAAATGCAGTCATCACAGTCTTACCCAGGCACTCCATAGTGCAAAAACTTTTTGCTACCCTTAGATAATAATGTAGATAGTAAAGAGATTTGTATTTATTTTTCTTTCTTTTTTTTTTTTTTTTGGTGATTGTTCTTTTTGGTAGTTTTAAAAACGTTTAGTTCACCCAAAAATTCAAAATCTTTCATCGTTTACTCACCATTCCATTGTATGCACAAAACGCATTAAAAAAAAAACTGTCTTTGAAAGTGTTCCACAATAGAAAGAAATGCATACAGGTTTGGAACGATGTGAAAGATTTGCTCAAACATGGGTGGCGGATGATATATACACTGTCTATAATATAAACAAGAGTTGGCAGATTGTTTTGGAAAGTTACTCATAAATATTGTATGAATGTATATCTTCCAACACACTATAGATATGGTTCATAAACACTGTACTAGATGCCTGGTCTGTTTTAAAGTTGTCCTGGTTCTTTAACCTTATAAAGCCTACTGTATCATATTTGATACGCACATTTCTAAGGCCACTATAAACACGATCAAAACATGGAAAAAAACTGTTGTGCATAATCTATACATGACTGATTGATAGTTATTATTTTGATACTTTTTAGCAACTAAAAGGCCTTTTAGTATAATTCTAAAAATGTCCATATATATATAAGAATACTGTATAAAGAAGTCTGCTATACTGTTAATTTATATAACTGATTAATATTACGAGCTATTAGAACGTTTTGGCCATGTAAATATTAGCAACTGCATCAAACTACATATTTTTGCTACATATTTTTGCAGTATACAGTGATCAGGCATAACATTATGACCACTGACAGGTGAAGTGAGTAAGACTGATTATCTTTTCATCACGCCACCTGTTAGTGGGTGGGATATATTAGGCAGCAAGTGAACATTTTGTCCTCAAAGTTGATGTGTTAGAAGCAGGAAAAATGGGCAAGCGTAAGGATTTGAGCGAGTTTGACAGGGGCCAAATTGTGATGGCTAGACGACTGGGTCAGAGCATCTCCAAAACTGGAGCTCTTGTGGGGTGTTTCCAGTCTGCAGTGGTCAGTATCTATCAAAAGTGGTTCTGATGGAAAGGTGTCAGAATACACAGTGCATCGCAGTTTGTTGTGTATGGGGCTGCATAGCCGCAAACCAGTCAGGGTGCCCATGCTGACCCCTGTCCACCGCTGAAACTCCAACAGTGGGAACGTGAGCATCAGAACTGGACCACTCAGCATTGGAAGAAGGTGGCCTGGTCTGATGAATCGGATTATCTTTTACATCACGTGGATGGCCGGGTGCGTGTGCATTGCTTACCTGGGGAACACATGGCACCAGGATGCACTATGGGAAGAAGGGAAGCCGGCGGAGGCAGTGTGATGCTTTGGGCAACGTTCTGCTGGGAAACCTTGGGTCCTGCCATCCATGTGGATGTTACTTTGACACATACCACCTACCTAAGCATTGTTGAAGACCATGTACAGCCTTTCATGGAAACTGTATTCCCTGGTGGCTGTGGCCTCTTTCAGCAGGATAATGCGCCCTGCCACAAAGCAAAAATGTGCTGAACAAACAAGTCTGATCCATGGAGGCCCCACCTCGCAACTTACAGGACTTAAAGGATCTGCTGCTGACATCTTGGTTCCAGATACAATAGCACACCTTCAGGGGTCTAGTGGAGCCCAAGCCTCGATGGGTCAAGATTGTTTTGGCAGCAAAAGGGGGAACAACACGATATTAGGAAGGTGGTCATAATGTTATGCCTGATCAGTGTATATTGCCAAAAGAATAAGCTGTATCACAGAGAAACTTAGTGGGCCCCCTTTGTCACATGGCCTGGGACAATGTTCACATTTATCCCTCTCGGATGATGGCCCTGTTCTACAGCACGTCTGATAGCAGCTGAAAATGCGATCAGCTCTCCCAGCACACACCAGACAATCTTTACATTATTCCTATTTTAGACCAGGTTTAAAAGGCAGATCCAATTATTTCAGGCTCAGCCTGTGCCTTCTAATTATGGTTGAATTGTGGGATGCTGTCTCTGTGAGTCTGGATGTATTAATGACTTGTGAAAGGAAAAGAATGCCATTCTCTAACACGTTACAGCCGTGGTGCAAGCTTTAGGGCTGTTATTTCAGTTGAGCTTATGTGTGCTCCTGTGTCACTTCTCAAGGACAGTGAAACACAAATGTTAGGCTGAACATGTCATACTAGCAACCACAATTAGCTTGATTGTTGCTTGTGTGTACTGTAAAGAGATTGTGTAATGAAAAAATACACAAGGAATGCGTCTACTAATATACTGCCTCTATTAAGTGATTATATTACTGTACTGCATCTGATGAAAGCTGAAATGAAGTCGGCCAGCATTACTCAGAACTGATTGTTCATGTTTTTATTGGGTAAGTTCCTGGGGTCAGGTAGATGGCTGGTCGATGACTCATATCGTCTATTTGGAGATCCTTGTGTATGAGGTACCACATTGAGATGTCTCTGTATATAGACCAATGACTAACATCTCTGCTTCCAGGCCAAAGGTCAATTCTATTTGCCAGCCGATATTGCTTCCATAAATTACTGTCATACATAGGCTATGTTTGCCTGTTTTTTGGTAAAACATATTTTCAATATGTTTATTATAAATATATGTTATCAAAAAATGACATCTTATTACTACCCATTCAATAAAGCATTGTGGCAGTACCATGGTTTCAAGATGTCAATATATGTGTTTACATGACACTCCATGACAAGTTACTTGAAAGAATACTGTGATATTACAAATAAAACACACACAAACGAACATGTTTATATGGCGTCCTATACTTAATTATCTTAAGAGCCTAATACACACACCGCCTATATACATTCATTAGCTTGTCAAATGAGTCTTAAGTAAAGAAGGTTTATCAGCCCTGTGACTAATCAACCATAGGCCTACTGAACAAACAGATACAAGATGTTCATATAATATCACTAAAACTTTCTCATATATTCCACAAATGTGTGTTTATTTTGTCTTAGTGCAGTATTTAGTAAAGCATGTTCTCTTTCTAATCTTTTTGCTTTTATCTTCTCTTTTCATTCTGCCACTCTTATTTGTTACAGTATTGGCTAAAATATACAGTGCTCAAGATGTTTAATTTAGAGAAACAACAAAAACTTTGGGTTAGGGTTATATATTAATGTAAGGAGGCACAAACTGAAAACATTTAGTGAGTAAAGAGATTTCAAGTGTAATTTATGCCCCCTGCTGGTGGAATTATTATTATAATTTTATTGTTTTAGGGGTTGTAGAGTGCAGCTTGTCCGTTATTCGACTAGAACTAACTAACTGTTGCATAAAAGTGTTCAAATGCAATTTGAGCGAATATTCTGTTAATGGGTGTTGATATGAAGTGTGACTTAAGTGGCTGTCTCTGTTGTTGCTGGTAGCGGAGACAGAGCATGCGCAGAGAGTCCCGGATGCAGAGTCGGCCCAGCAAATGAGGATGAGAGAGAGACAACGATTCTTTGAGGAGGTCTTTCAACACGACGTGGATGGCTACCTTTCCTCTGCACACCTGCAGATAGGTTATACGAGACGTGAGTTTGAACACACACATACAGTAAATGGGTGACTCTTTTCATTTTTATAAATAATATTATATAACAATTTAACTGTGTCAAAATGTTACATTTTGCCAGAACTTCGTAATTGTACTTAAAAAGTCCTTTAAAACTATGACAAACTATTGATACATTTATTATTTATTTATTTATATATTTTTTGGAAAATTAAAAAAATAATTTTATGAACTCATTTTAGAAAAAAAAAACCTTTATATAT